TAATCTTGTATCATAGGAGTTTCTGGGTGGTACAAATGGTTAACGTGCTCAGTTGTTAACCAAAAGGATGGCGGTTCAAGTCACCCAGGGACACCTCGGAAGAAAGGCCTGTCAGTCTACTTCTGAAAAATCAGCCATTGAAAACCCTATGGAGCACAGTCCTACTCTTACTCATGGGGTTGCTGTGAGTCAGAATCAGCTTGATGTCAACTGGTAAATCTTACATTATGCATTAAAAGACTACATGGTTAGACATAAAAAAGGAAAAATGCATTCACAGCAAGAATATAAATTAGAGCAAGAAAACATTTTAAATTAAAGCAAAAAGAAAATAGTAAAAATTAACTGATACAAGCATGACAAAGATTATCTATACCTAAAGGCAATGGGAGAAATCACAAAATAAAGAAATTTGAAAGTAAAATTAAACCTGCTAAATATAAAATTATTATTAAATAAAGTTAAAAAACAAACAACAAACTGGGGGAAAATGGACCAACGCAATCTTAGAACAGCAAGATACTAATCCGCATATATTGTATTAGCCTAATTACATTAAAATGTATATAAATATGCAATACACTGGTACATAGAAAAAAGATGGAAGGAAATAAACATCAAAACTTAACAGCAAGAGGCAGGGCCAAGATGGCAGAATAGTCAGATGCTTCGATGTTGTCCCTCTTACAACAAAGACCCAGAAAAACAATCAGATATATATGACAATCTAGAAACCCTAAGCATCAAACGCAAAGCTGAAGAATCCGACCAAGCAACAGGAGGAAGGAGAGACAATTCAAAAACAGCAGAAACAGAGAATTTAGGATCACTAGATCACCAGTGTTTTGCTAGCTGAACCTGCACAGTGTGGACATAATGAGACAAGCAGCAGCATTCCAAGCCAAAACCCACCTCATCTGGTGCAGCTAAGCAGGAACAACTCTGCATGTACCTCCAGTATCAAATACAAGTGATTCCAGATCTGCAAAAGTCAAGTGCATGCTCCCAACCCAACACGTGTACCACAACCCACCCCCACCAGAGCTCCGTGGGCAAGGAGCACTCACTCACCCTCTCCATTCCTCTCCCTGCTTTGATGCCAGTCCAGCGGCATTCAACATCACCATGCACTCTAAGCCGGGAACTCGTGGCCTCGGTCCAGAGGTGCCCACCCCTTCACCCAGCCACTGGCACATGGAGTCCATGGGCTTGCAGCACCCTCTACCGACTCCAATCACCCGCACCAGTGCCTTGCTGGCCGAGTCCCCACAGCACACCCACCCTAACATATGGTGGACAGAGTTCCCGGATGAAGCCCATTTTCACCTGCAGCAGCCAAGTGGGAGCTGCAAATCTGCGACATTTGACACCACCCTGCCCGCTAAGCCAACAGCCCTTGGCCCAGTCTGAGATGCACGCCTCTTTGCCCAACCACTGGCATAGGGGATCCACAGACTTGCAGCACCCTTCACCCCACTGATTACCCGCACCAGTGCCTTGCTGGCCAACCCAGGCACAGCACATGCTCATTAGGACAAAGCAGGCAGGGTTCCCAGCTGAAGCCCTTTTTCACTTAGTCACGTGGGAGCTGCAGATCTGTGGCATTCGACACTGCCCCACCCCCTAAGCTGGTAGCTCTCGGCCCGGTACGAGGCACCTACCTCTCAGCCCAGCCACTGGTGCAGGAGGTCCACAGACTTGCAGTGCCCTTCGCCTCTGCTGATCACCTGCACCGGTGCCTTACCGGCGGAGCTGACATACCACGCTCTCATTAGGGCAAGGCAGGCATGACCCCCAACTGAAGCCCATTTGCAGCAGCTAAGCAAGAGCTGCAGATCTGTGGCATTCACCACTGCCCCACCCCATGAGAAGGGGCCACTACCACCCACACAGGTGCCTGAGGGCCGGGGGTAAGACCCATTCCACCCAGCCACCCACAATGGGGGCCTGAGAACCAGTGGCATCCCCCAATCCCTCCAGCCAATGGTACCAGGTGCCCAAGGACTGGCTGCACTATGCCCCTGACTACACACTCAAGTGGACATCATGACCAAGTGGGATTCATACCAGGTATGCAAGGATGGTTCAACATTAGAAAATCAATCAATGTAATTCACCACATAAATAAAACAAAAGAATCACATGATCTTCTCAACGAACTCAGAAAAGGCATTTGACAAAGTCCAACACCCATTCCTGATAAAAACTCTCAGCAAAATAGGAATAGAAGGGAAATTCCTCAACATAATAAAGGGCATTTATAGAAAAACAATAGTCAACATCATTCTCAACAGAGAGAAACTGAAAGCATTCCCCTTGAGAACGGGAACCAGACAAGGGTACCTTTTATCACCGCTCTTATTCAACATCTTGCTGGAAGTGCTAGCTAGATAAATAAGGTAAGAAAAGGAAATAAAGGGAATGCAAATTGGTAAGGAAGAGGAAAAACTACCCCTACTCACAGGGGTATGATCTTATACACAGAAAATCCCAAAGAATCCACAAGAAAACTACTGGAACCAATAGAAGATTGCAGCAAAGTAGCAGAATACAAGATTAACATAAACAAAAATCAGTTGGATTCCCCTATGCCAACAAAAAGAACTTCGAAAAGGAAATCAGCAAATCAATACCATTTACAATAGTGCCTAAGAAGATAAAATACTTAGGAATAATCTAAACAGCAACATAAAAGATCCATATAAAGAAAACTACAAAACACTACTGCAAGAAACCAAAAGAGACCTACATAAGTGGAAAAACATACCATGCTCACGGATAGGAAAACTCAACATTATGAAAGTGTCACTACTACCTGAAGTGATCCACAGATACAATGTAATCCCAATTCAAGTTCCAACAGCATTCTTTAAAGAGATGGAGAAACAAATCATCAACTTTATATGGAAAGGGAAGAGGCCTTGGATAAGCAAAGTATTACTGAAGAAGAACAAAGTGGGAGGCCTCACATTACCTGATCTTAGAACCTATTATACAGACACGATAGTCAAAACAGCCTGGTACTGGTACAACAGACACACAGACAGGTGGAACAGAATTGAGAACCCAGACGTAAACCCATCCATCTATGAGCAGCTGGCATTTGACAAAGGCCCAAAGTCCACTTAATGGGGAAAAGACAGTCTCTTTAACAAATGATGCCAGCATAACTGGATGTCCATCTGTTAAAAAAATGAAACAAGATCCATACCTCAGACCATATACAAAAACTAACTCAAAATGGATCAAAGACCTAAATATAAAACCTAAAACAAATAAAGACCTTGGAAGAAAAAACAGAGACAACTCTAGGGGCCCTAATACATGGCATAAATAGCATACAAGCCATAACTAACAATACACAAACACCAGAAGAGAAACTAGGTAACTGGGAGCTCCTAAAAAGTAAACACTTATGCTCATCAAAAGACTTCACCAAAAGAGTAAAAAGAGAACCTACAGACTGGGAAAAAAATTTTGGCTACAACATATTCGACAAGGGTCTAATCTCTAAAATCTACAAACTACTTCAACACCTCAACAACTAAAAGACAAATAATCCAATTAAAAATGGGCAAAAGATATGAACAGACACTTCACCAAAGAAGACATCCAAGTGGCTAACAGACATAAAAAGAAATGTTCACGATCATTAGCCATTAGAGAAATGCAAATCAAAACTACAATGAGATACCATCTCACCCAGACAATACTGGCACAAATGAAAAAAACAGACAACGAATGTTGGAGAGGTTGCAGGGAGACTGGAACTCTTACGCACTATTGGTGGGAATGTAAAATGCTACAACCACTTTGGAAAACAATAAAAACTCAAGAAAAGGTTTACACACAGAAAAAAAAAAAACATTCTTTGATGGTTATGAGGGTGAGGAGGGAGGGAGAGGAGAAATTACTAACTAGACAGTAGTCAATTTTGGTGAAGGGAAAGACAACACACAATACATAGGGGAAGTCAGCACAACTTGACTAAGGCAAAGACACAGAAGTTTTCTAGACATATTCAAACAACTTGAGGGACCAGGTTGCTGGGGCTGAGGTCTGGGGACCATAGTATCGGGGGACATCTAGGTCAACTGGCATAACACAGTTCATAAAGAAAATGTTCTGCATCCTATTTTGGTGAGTAGCGTTTGTGGTCTTAAAAGCTTGTCATAGGCCATCTAAGATACATTCATTGGTCCTATCCCATCCAGAGCAAAGGAGGAGGAAGAAAACCAAAGACACAAGGAAAATATTAACCCAAAGGACTAACAGATCACATGAAACAGAGCCTCCACCAGCATGAGCCCACAAGAACAAGACGGTTCCTGGCTACCACCACCGACTGCTCTAAAAGGGATCACAATAGAGGGTCCCGGACAGAGCAGGAGAAAAATATAAAACACAATTCAAATTCACAAAAGACCAGACTTACTGGTCTGACAGAGACTGGAAGAACACCTGAAATTATGTCCCCTGGACACTCTGCTAACTCTGAACTGAAATCACTCCCGAAGCATACTTTTCAGACAAAGATTAGACAGGCCTATAAAACAAATAGTAACACATGTGAGGAATGTGCTTCTTAGTTCAATCAAATATACGAGACCAGATGGACAATTCCTACCCAAAAGCAAAATGAGAAGGCAGGAAGGGACAAGAAAACTGGACAAATGGACACAGGAAACCTGGGGCAGAAAGGGGAGAGTGCCGTCACATTGTGGGGACTGCAACTAATGTCACAAAACAATGTGTATAAGTTTTTGAATGAGAAACTAACTTGAGCTGTAAACTTCCACCTAAAGCACAATTAGACAAAAAAAAACTTAACAGTACTTTGAATGATTACACTCTTATTTTTCTCTAAATTCTGTATTTTCAAAATTATCTATAACTTGAATTCTCTATAATTTAAAAGGATATTCATTCTTTTTTAAAAATTAGTTACCCATGAGTTTCTAACTATATACTGTGTAATTTAAAAGCTCAACTCTTCTTACCTCTTGTCATGGTTGGGCTAAATATTCCCAGTACTGACACACTAGAATAGGAGAGCAGGTCTTCAAATAATTTCCCACTTAAATATTCTTCTGCTTCTTGGACAGATGTTATGTTCACTGGACATGAAATCCTGTTGCTGAATGGAATATATGACTGCACTCAAAATTAAATTTTAGAGACATTTTTAAGCTTGTAAAAACAAACATACTGAACTTAGCAAACTATAAACAAGATACACATCTGACAAAATAAAGACAATTAAATACTATTATTAAAAAAAATCACCTTCATTAAACAAAATTATTACTATCTTCCAAAAAAATGATGAAATGTGGATAGGCTCTCTTCATCCATCTTTATTCTATCTCAGTTCTAGTATCCTCCTTAACCCATTCAAAGTATGCCAACATATCATGAGAATTAGAAGTTTTATAAACCTAAATTTTTAAAAATCTTCTCGTGAAGTTGAATACTTACAGCTGAATAAATTTTAGGAGATCTTCAGTTCCTAGCATACCAGCATAAGACACTGGGTTCTCACCTTTCTTGTACATCTTTACAAAAGGAAATTCAGTAACATTTTGCTTAGTACATACGTCAGACCAATCTCCACAGTTTACTCTAGAAAGTAACATATTGGATGTGCCTAAATGAAAGGAAAACATACCCTTTATAGATATTAATGTAGAAAATTCAGTTGTTTACAATTTAAGTATTCCGTATAATGCAATAAGAAAAAATAATGACGATATCCTTCTGTATAACATCATAATCTTAATTTAAAAGAATGAGCAAATACCAAATATCCTTGATATAAATTTCACTGTAGAATTATTAAATCTTTTAATTAAATTCAATTAAATTCTGCAACTATTAATAAGCACTCTGTGCCACCTGCTGAATCAGAAAAAGCAATTAGGATGTTTGTGATATAATCCTTCAACACCAAGCCCTCTGAAACATGTAACGCATTCAGTTAGAAACTACTAATGCATGGCAGCTCAATGGTAGAGCTACTATTAGCTCCTAAAACTATCACAAATCAAAGGAAATCAAGCAAATGTAGATTGTAACTGCATTTTTTACTTATATCCAGAAATAATTTTTTCTAATTCAAAAGACTGTAGCACTGAACATCCATATTTTTTTTAAAAAGGAATCTAATCTTTATACACTACATATTACTATATATTACAGGAATTGGACTTTCCCATTTCTGAGTTTATGGATGTCTAAATATTGTAATTTCTTTTCAGCCTAAGAAAACCATAGTGGAATCACAAACAGAAATTCCTACTCATTCTATAATAAAATATGTAAAGCTCTGGGTAAATCACTGGGTAGAAAAAGATCAAAAACCAAATAGAATAAGCACTACACAACTCAGCTACTCAAAGGAAAGAATAAATTATAATAAAAAATAAACTTTAATTTCTGGTCTTAAGAGTCTTAATGGCCCCACACTACCAGTTAATCTGCCAAAAATTCCCAGTTTTAATGTTAGACTTTAATTTCATATTAGATCAAAGAGGAATCTTTGTATATCAATTTAGGATATAGCCTAAATGTAAACTAACCATATGAATTATAATTATAAAATGTAGTATTTTAATATTTTATCACCAGAAGTTTTTAATACTGAAATCTACTTTTATATTTTAAAAGATTCTAGATTATATCTCATGGACATAATAACTTTTCACTTTAGATTTAATGGTAACTATCTGTTTGATAATAGAGGCAGGATCTAGTCTGTCTTATTTACTACATCTCCAGTACCTAACACAATGTCTGTTAAATAATATGCACCCAATTAAAATGTGTGGAATGTATAATGATATTTCTTCATAAACACATCTTAAAATTTTACAGTAGGGTATGTTAACACCTGAGTATTATATGAGTATTTTTATAAATGAAGAGAAACTCTTATTTCCCTCCAAAATCAGATCTGCTAAATGGCTTCTCTACAAAGTTCCCTTATGTTTTACTTTAATCATTTAGTCAATAAATACTTAGTGATGTTTGTTTACACAGAGTACCATATTACAGCCTGCCAACCAAGTATGGAATCTTGTACTATTACAGATATAGTTCTTTTCCTTCAATAAGCACCCTCACATACCTTCTACTGCTAAAAATGTTTATTATTTCCTTGTTCCTACAGCCCAAGTTGAAAACTTTGATGTTATCTTTAAAACTGGAAATAGAACACTCAGACATGTCATTAAGTATTATAAGGCTACTTAAATTGAAGTTAACAATTTAAACTTTTAATTTTCTTCTCTGTATAATAGTTTCAGTATTTAATCATGTTTCAGTAGAAATAGCTAACAGTCTAAGACTGCTGCAGCATTATATCCCATATACTTTATCATTGGAGTAATTTAAAATAGGGTTCCTAATGTAAAGGGGAAAAAATAGATTATCTTAGATACAGATAACATGTAAGTATAAAAACTTGAAATTTGCTGCCACCTTGTGACTGAGTAAATATTCATCATCATCCTAGACTAAGATAAAAAATGGCTTTTTCTCAAGAAATCAAACATGAAAGGCAGATTACAGCCCTAACTGTCCAAAGTATTAGAATATTTTCCTAATTTACAAAGTTATAGAATAGGCTTCAACATATACACAAAACACTATAGTTACCTATACTAAGCACTTTTACATTAAACTCCCTGAACTTCCAAAATAGTCCATTTATCTGATATTTAATTATTGAAATGATTGTTATTCATAAAAAAATATACTGAGTGTGGTGATGGAATAATTTGGAAAAGGATAGTGAGAATAGCAGCACAACTGGAGGAATGCAATTGATGTCACTGAATTGTACATGTAGAAACTTTTGAAATGGTGTAACTTTGGCTATGTATATTTTCACCAAAAAAAAGGTCCCCCAAGGTCGAGAAGGGAGAGTGTTCACATGTCATGGGGTTGTTAAACAATGTCATAAAACAATATGTGTACTGACTGTTCAATGAGAAACTATTTGTTCTGTAAACCTTCATCTAAAGTACAATAAAAAATATACATACTGAGTAAAAAGGAAAGCAAGTCCTAGGATGGTTATCTGCATTTCTTTTACTCTACAAACACATACAACTCAAGCCCTCACATTGAGGATGCAGGCAGTCTCTCTGTTTGGTCATTAACAGAGAATAAAGTAGGAGAACCTTTTTTTATTTTTATCCAGTGTCAAACCAAATAAGTGGGGGTGAGGAGAAAAGAATTAATTCTATTAAAGGACATTACCCAATTATTATTTCATTATGGTTCATATTTTCCCCTCCCTTCCTTTCTTCTACTTATTTGCCAATAAAGCTGGAGAACCTAAAAAAGAAGAAACTTAAATCTGTCCATAGCTTGCAACTATAAAGGACAGTCTGAAAGAGAATAACAGAAATTGCTTTAAAAGAAAAAAAAAAGATTCAGGATAACAGTATCTACTGACTTAATCATCCCTCAACTCATTAATGAAATAATGAAAAGTTAGATCAAATGTGATTGGGAAATGAAAGAGAAATGGTTCTTGAAATCAATTTCAGAATCTCTGATTTTTTAATTATTATAAAACTCTGACTTCCTAGAGTCAATTTCTTGAGTTCACAAAAAGTCCCTAATGTATAAATAAGAGGTACACCAAAAGTCAGTTCTTTAAAACCAGTATAGATTTCCACTAGAAAAAACAAGTCAATATACTCTACTATATTAGTTTATTTATTTATTCAACAATTATTAAAAAGTAGATATTCTGAAACATACGGCAGTATGCTAAGTCTAGTGAGCTGGGTATAAGACTCAATGCCTGCCCATAAACAACTTACAAAATCATTGAAAGCCCCTATAAGCAAGTGCCCAAAAAAGGTAGATGGTAGATATATTCCTAGAGTAACCAAGAACAAGCCTATTTAACCATAATAGCTTCTATTTACAAGAAACACAGAGTAGGAGAAAATCACGTAAAAGATACTAAGCATAATACATTCTGTCTTATTCAAATCATTACAAAATATTACATACATCTTATCCACCACATCTCTCTCTTATTACTAGGCCTCCCTACTTTTGTTATGTCTTTTCTAGGATGATGGCATAGACATTTTAAGTTAAAGTCCATTTCTTGAATTCTTTTTTTGGCTGCCACTGGATCAAGTTTCATAAAATAATTAAAATAAAAAGATTCTGCCTACTGAGAAATAGCCTATCTATGACGAGCTAATTACATAGGTTCAAGAAACTGGGATCTTGGATCTTTCATTAGACTATGAGTGCTGTAGGAGACTGGGTCTTACCTTTTTATCTCCAGTAGCTAATAGTAACTGGCACAGAACAGGCACTCAATAAATGTTTACAAATGAATGGATTCAGCCAAAAAGGCTATTTATTGGATTGACTGTGTACCTACTACATGGACTCTCTATTTTCTATTATAGTCAGTTCCATGAAGACAAGTGAATGCTTTTGACTATTTCTGAGACTCTTAGTTCATTAAATTAACCTTGGAGACACAATCATAATAACCTAAAATTTTATGTGGATTTCTAGATCATTAGTATTAACGATGTTTTAGAAATAGCTACAGCTCAGAATCAGGAAAAAAATTATGCACACAATACCTTTCAATTTAACTGCCACATCAAGATATGACTGCAGAAATGCCATGGATACTGCTTCCCCTATATTAAAATTAAAAAATTCAAACATGTATATCTCTAAAGCATCCATACTTATATCTAGCATATAAATTTATGAGATTTTCCAAAATTGTTATTTCTGAAAAAGAAATACCCTAGCACATTGCACTCAGCATTCTGTCCAAAAACTTATAGAGGGTTCCAAATGAAACTAATTTTCTGCATTCATACTGTAAAAAATATAGTTGAATGACTATTATTTGAATATATAAGAAATACATTTTTGTTGTTATTAGCTGCCATTCATGCCCTGGTGGTGCAGTAGTTAAGAGCTATGGTTGCTAACCCAAAGGCTGGCAGTTCAAATCCACCAGCTGATCCCTGGAAATCTTATAAGGCAGTTCCACTCTATCTTATAGAGTCGTATGAGTCAGAATCAACTCAGTGGCAGCGGGTTTTGTTGTTAGCTGCCGTTGAGCTGGTCCCTGACTCATGGTGACCCCATAAACAACAAAATGAAACACTGTCCGGTCCTAAACCATCCCCATGATCAGATGCAAATCAGACATGTTAGCAACATGACATGGCAAAACTGTAGGGTTTTCATTGGCTGATTTTTGGAAGTAGATTGCCAGATCTTTCTTCCTAGTCCCTCTTAGTCTGCAAGCTCCACTAAAACCCATTAAGCATCACAGCAACATGAAAGCCTCCATTGACTGACAAGTGGTGGCTGCACGTGAGGTGCACTGCCCAGGAATCGAACCAGAGTCTCCCACATGGAAGGTGACAATTCTACCACTGAATCACCAAGGCCTCACAAAAATCAACATACTTTCTACAAGAACTATTAGCATACAAAAATCATTAGATTGAATCACAATAAGTTTTCTAAATTACTACTAAACATCTAGTTAATCATTAACCTTCAATGTGTAAATCAGATATAATCAGTTTTACAACCCTACATCAGTTATAAGCAAATGTTTCAACTTGTGCGGTCTACCTGGGACATATGAAAACCGTCATTTTACAACATGAACGTGCAATATACAGAATGCAAAAATAAAATCTGTCTACTTTAAATGCTCTAGTATGTTAATATAGATAGTCTCCTCTAAATGATCATACTCACAGCCAGCATAGAAGAGCACTATGCTGTCAGAAGCCATTACTGTTGTGTTAAACGTCTCTTCTGTTAGTTCCACTGTGAGTTCCAAAGGTAACTGCCTCTTCCTATCTCTATAAACAGTTTCAGCCACTTCATCATCTTCAGTTTCTAAAATGTTCGAAAAAAATTAATTTAAATATAAAAGTGTAATTCAAAATATTTAAGCTTTTCTCACAGGCAAGCATATGACAATTTGGTACTTTATAAAGACTTCTGAATTCACAGTATCCTAACAGTTAAAATGTATCATATCTAGAAAACCTTCCAGTTGCTTGGCTTCCTATCTTAAATGGCAGATTCTTTTCTGACCCAGAAATTGTGCAGTGTTAATCAATTCCAGAAACAATTATTTAGATTGGTTCTATACATATGAACAGTACTATTTTGTTTCTAATAAATGTATTAATTTACAGTCCAAAAAGGTTTTACTGTACATATTTGACAGTGTATATCTAGCCTCTACTACATGCCAGGCACTGTACTAGGCACTAGGGTAAGTGGTAAACTAAATAGACAAAGTTCCTGATCACATGGAGTTCTATTTATGAAAAAAAAATCAGAAACTAATCACCAAATAAATATATAATTACAAATTGTGTCAGCTTACAAAGAAATGTAAAGGATACAGTAAGAGATTATAACAGGGAGAATGAGACCAGGGAGCCAAATTTTGCCAGGCTGAAAATCAAGAAATGGGTGTTTTAGGCAAAGAGAATAACATATGCAAAGGCTCTGAGACATAAAAGAGTTTAGCATATATAAAGTACTGAGGGAAGGCAAACTTGACTAAAACAAGATGCAGTAGAAGGAATAAATGGCATGAGAAAAGACAAGGGTAAGCAGTGGATAGATCATATAAGGCAAGAATTTTGGGTTTTATCCAAAGTGTCATCAAGCTACGGGTGGATTCTGAATACGTAGAAAGTTTTCATATACATATGTTGTAGTTGTGTGCCGTTGAGTCGATCCCAACTCACAGTGACCTTATAGGACAGAGTAGAACTGCCCCATAGGGTTTCCAAGGCAGTAATCTTTACAGAAGTAGACTACCACATCTTTCTCCTGCTGAGCTGCTGGTTGGTTTAAACCGCCAAGCTTTCAATTAGCAGCTGAGTGCTTAATCACTGTGCTGCCAGGGCTCCTAATCGCATATATATAATCATATACTGTATATATAATCACCATCCATCAATCCATGTGGTGAAAAATACATTTTGAATTGGCAAATATTCTGTTGGAGATTTGTAGAGATTGTATAGGAACAGCGAAGGCACATCTAACTTGAGTAAAGAGACAATAAAAGCTTCCGAGAGGAGTTGACATGCACTGAATACTAAAACTTAGCTAGGCAGAGAAGAGTGGCAATGGAAGCACACAAAGCAAAGGGAACAGTATGTGCAAAGGCACAGTGGCATGAAAGAGTATGATGTAACTGGAAATTTGAACACTGACTGGATATTTGATGATAGTAAAGAATCGCTGTTAATTTTTTAGGTGTGATAATAGTATCGATTACGTCAATTTTCAAAAGGAGAATCCTTACATTTCTGAAATACATAGTGAAATATATATGGATGAAATTATATCATGTTTGGGGTTCGCTAAAAAATAGCAAGAGACAAGGAGTGGATGGGGCAGGATTAGGCATGGGTTAATGGGGACTGGGGCCAGGTAATAGGTACAAGGAGAGTCATTCTATTATTCCATCAGCTTTAAGATATGTTCAAAATCCTCTGATAACATGTTTGGGAGGGAAGGATAATGCATTCAAAGAACTGAAGTATAATCTTCCATATAAATTCTAATACTATAAAAGAGAATACTAGATCTAGATTTCAGTACCATCTTGGCCATTTTCTAACTATATGACTCTAGTCACATAACTCTCGGGGCCTCAATGTTCAAATCTGTGAAGCATAGGAGTTGCGCTATATTAACTTTAAGCTCCTTTTATACACGACATTTCAGGACACTAAAAAGTTGTGCCCTTGACACCAAAATTAGTAAAGGCCTATTTTCTTATTATCTTTTTTTCATTTCCTAGCCAGTCCTTTTTTCTCAGTTCCTATCTTTTATCTTGTTCCAACACTTTCTTTATCTCTTTCCTATACTCTCTCTCTCTCTTAAAAAACTAACCTCACTGGTAAATTTACTCACCAATGCTCCCTTTTCACCTACCCAACAATACATACACATTCTCTCTCTTTTTGGCGATGAGTGTTTCTTTCTTTCCTTTTCTTTTTTAACGTTGTCCTTTTGCAGAATACATACCTTTGTATTCTGACTCATCTGTGCCCACTTACTTTGGGGGATATTTTCCCCTATGTTCCACTCTTACATGGCAATAAACTCTTTCCTAACCTTCTTCTATTTTTCCTATATAAGTGGGAATGAGACAAAGCAGAACAAAATACGTATATAGGCCAGTATATTAAAGGCCAGTATGAATTACAGATACAGGAAGTTCAAACAAAAAAATTAAAAAGGCAAACCTGCAAAAGAAATACTAGAACTAGGCTGAGGAGATAAGGCAGGGAGACAGAAGAAAGGAAAGGTGGCACCAGAGGACAAAGTAAGGCAATACAGGGGATGTGGTAACAGGGCAATCTTGAAACAGAGGCAAATCCCACTAAGGGTAGAAATTTTATTAAACTGAGACTGGGGCAAGTCCCCCAACTCAGAAGATTGGAACATATTAAACCTTAACAGGAATAAAGCAGGGAGCAAGATCCCAGAACACAGGTCTGCTTATGTAATGACCGTGTTAGGGAGAACTCTGGCTTAAACCATGAGCAATTCCAACTTCTACATATCAGAAGAGAACTGGAGTTCATGTTAGACCAAGAAACGGGTCAACAAGAACAGTTAAAGCAAAGAGCCCTTATTAAATTTTTACATAAATTTTGATCAAAATAATGAATGGACTTCATGAAAAGACTATGTTAATTCCTTCCTTCTTGGAGTTCATCATAATGGTACAATTTACACCATTCAAGCATTTACTAAATGGAATACAAAAATAACTAAGACATGATCCCTGTCTTCTTCATACATTAGTGGAGAAGACAGAAAAGTAACAAGCAATTACAGTATAGGATTAATGTTATGAAATAAGTATCAAGAACGATAATAATAACAAATAAAACTTCAAGTCAGAAGGCTTAAGGTCTAGCCCTGGCTCCACCATAAGCCAACTGTATGATGTTGGGAAGATCACTTAACTCTGCTGAAACACAGATTCTTCATCTATAAAATGAACGTAACATCAGCTAACGAAAAGGGTAAAAATCAAAGTAAATAATTTATGGGAAAACTACAGAATACTGCATAAATGTAAGAAATAAGAAACAAATTTTTATTGTTGTTAGGTGACATTAATTCGGTTCCAACTCACAGCAACCCTATGTATAAGAGAACAAAATATTGTCCAGTCCAGCGCCATCCTCACAATCATTGCTGTGTTTGAGCCCATTGTTGCAGCCACTGTGTCCGTCCATCTCACTGAGGGTCTTCCTCTTTTTCGCCAGCCCTCTACCTAGCATGATGTCCTTCTCCAGGGACTGGCCCCTCCTGATAACATGTCCAAAGAATATGAGGCGAAATCTTGCCAGTCTCACTTCTAAAGAGCATTCTGTCTGTACTTCTTCCAAGACCGATTTGTTCATTCTTCTGGCAGTCTGTGGTATTATTCTTCACCAACACCGTAATTCAAAGGTATCAATTCTTCTCAGGTCTTCCTTATTCACTGTCCAGCTTTTGAATGCATATGAGGTGACTGAAAACACCATGGCTTGGGTCAGGTGCACCTTAGTCCTCAGGGTGACATCTTTGCTTTTCAACACTTTCAAGGGGTCTTCTGCAGTACAGGTGCGTAATGCAATATGTCATTTGATTTCCTGACTGCTACTTCCATGGACGTTGACTGTGGATCCAAGTAAAAGGAAATCCTTGACAACTTCAATATTTTCACCATTTATCATGACGTTGCTTACTGGTCCAGTTGTGAGAATTTTTGTTTCAAGTTGATATGTAATCCATACTGAAGGCTATAGTCTTTGATCTTCATCAATAAATGTTTCAAGTCCTCTTTGCTTTCAGCAAGCAAGGCAGTGTCATCTGCATATCACAGGTTGTTAATAAGTCTTCCTCCAATCTTGATGCCCTGTTCTTCTTCATATAGTCCAGGCTCTCAGATTATCTGTCAGTATACAGATTAAATAAGTATGGTGAAAGGATACAACCCTGACACACACCTTTCCTGATTTAAAACCACTCAGTATCCTCTTGGTCTATGTACAGGTTCCACATGAGCACAATCAAGTGTTCTGGAATCCCCACTCTTTGTTATGTTATCCATAATTTGTTATGATCCACACAGTCCAATGTCTTTGCACAGTCAATAAAACACAGGTAAATATCTTTCTGATATTTGCTGCTTTCAGCCAAGATCCATCTAACATCAACAATGATATTCCTTGTCTGACATCCTCTTCTGAATCTGGCTTGAACTTCTTCTAGCAGTTCCCTTCTGTTGACCATTTTTGAATTATCTTCAGTAAAATTTTACTCGTGTGTGATATTAATGATATTGTTTGACAGTTTCTGCATTCTCTTAATCACCTTCCTTTGGAATGGGCAGAAATATAGATCTCTTCCAGCCAGCTGGCCAGTTAGCTGTCTTCCAAATTTCTTGGCACAGACAAGTAAGCACTTCCAGCGTTGCATCTGTTTGTTGAAACATCTCAATTGGTATTCCATCAATTTCTGGAGCCCCCAATTTGCCAGTGCCTACAGTGCAGTTTGGATTTCTTCCTTAAATACCATCAGTTCTTGTTCATATACTACCTTCTGAAACGGCTGAACATCAACTAATTCTATTTGGTACAGTGACTGTGTATTCCTTCCATCTTCTTTTGATGCTTCCTACATTGTTCAATATCCTTCAATGTTGCAACCAAGGCTTGAACTTTTTCTTCAGTTCTTTCAGCTTCAGAAACTCCAAGTATGTTCTTCCCTTTCGGTTTTTCTAACTCCAGGTCTTTGTACATTTCATTATAAAACTTTACTTTGTCTTCTGGAGCAGCACTTTGAAATCTTCTCTTCAGCTCTTTTACTTCATCATTTCTTCCATTTGCTTTAGGTAATCTATGTTCACGAGCAAGTTTCAGAGTCTCTTCTGACATCCATTTTGGTCTTTCCTTTCCTTCCTGTCTTTTTAATAACCTTTTGCTTTCTTCATTTATGATGTTTATTCTTCATGTACCACCACTCATCTGTCAGTTTGTCATACTGTGGTGGCTTGTGTGCTGCTGTGATGCCAGAAGACATGAAACCAGTATTTCAGATAGCAGCAAGGTCACCCATGGTGGACAGGTTTCAGCAGAGCTTCCAGACTAAGACAGACTAGGAAGAAGGACCTGGCAATCTACTTCTAAAAAAACTGACCAGTGAAAATCTTATGAATAACAGCAGAACATTGTCTGATATAGTCCAGAAGATGAGCCCCTCAGGTTGGAAGGCACTCAAAACACGACCACGGAAGAGCTGCCTCCTCAAAGTAAAGTTAACCTTAATGATGTGGATGGAGTAAAGCTTCCAGGATCTTCATTTGCTGATGTGGCACAACTCAAAATGAGAAGAAACAGCTGCAAACATCCATTAATAATTGGAATGTGGAATGCATGAAATATGAATCTAGGAAAATTGGAAGTTGTCAAAAATGAAATGGAATGCTTGAAGATTGATATCCTAGGCATTAGTGAACTGAAATGGACTGGTATTGGCCATTTTGAATCAGACAATCATATGGTACTATGTCAGGAATAACCAGTTGAAGAGGAATGGCGTCACACTCATTGTCAAAGAGAACATTTCAAAATCTATCCTGAAGTTCCACACTGTCAGTGACAGGATAACATCCATACACCTACAAAGAAGACCAGTTAATACAACCCTTATTCAAATTTACGCACCAACTACTAATGACAAAGATGAAGAAACTGAAGATTTTTACCAACTTCTGCCCTCTAAAATTGATCAAACACAGAATCAAGATGCACTGACAATTACCAGTGATTGGAACGTGAAAGTTGGAAACAAGAAAAGGTGTTCAGTAGTTGGAAAATACGACCTCAGTGATAGAAACGACGCCAGAGATCACATGACAGAATTTTGCAAGACCAACGACCTATTCATTGGAACCATCTTTTTTCAGCAACATAAACAGCAACTATACACATGGACCTTGCCAAATGGAATATACAGGAATTAAACTGACTACATCTGTTGAAAAAGATGATGGAGAAGCTCAATATCATCAGTCAGAACAAGGCCAGGGGCTGACTGCGAAACAGACCATCAATTGCTCATACTCAAGTTCAAGTTGAAGCTGAAGAAAATTAAAACAAGTCCACAAGAACCAAACTACAAGTTTAAGTATATCCCACCTGGATTTACAGACCATCTCAAGAATAGATTTGACACAATGAACCGTAATGACCAAAGACCAGATGAGTTGTGGGATGACATCAAGAACATCACACATGAAGAAAGCAAAAGGTCATTAAAAAGACAGGAAAGAAAGAAAATAAGAAACAAATAACTACGCTGAAAGTATTAAAATGTTGTTGAAATTTACTTGCTATATTATTAACAATCAAATTTATTTATGACTACAAATACAACAATATTTATTATAATTGCATTTCCTAACTATGATAATGAAATAAAATACCACGTGTGCCTTTTGGGTGGAGTTTTAAAACACTGACTAGGTCAGTAGGACTGAAAGAATTGATTTGGAGGATAAAGACAGGGATGTGTTCGCTAGAAGCCTGACATGTAACAATGAACAATACTACAGTAAACTAACTATAGCATCCTTTTATCTCATCATCTAATCAATTTCATAGAATATGATTCAAAAATAATTTCTTCCAGTTTCTTCCCCAAGTCTTGAATGTGAATATAGTATACAAGAAAGTTAATTCATTGAAAATGTCACTGATCTTATGCATGCTGGGCAGGAATGGGTGGTAGGGGGGAGATCACAAAACATATTACCCATATCTGGATCCTCCATGTCATCGTCTTCATCTTCTTGGATTTCCTGGGTGTGCACATTACTTTCCACACGGGATATTATTAAATCAATATCATCTAACACCAAATATTCTACTGGCATTCCCTAGAAATACATTTATTTTAAAAATATGACTAAAATATAGCAAAGCATTTTAATATAAAAATATGTTTAACTTGTTTGACACTAAAATAACACCAAACTTTTGAAGTTCAATTAAATAAAACAAAAAAAAGGAAATGAACTCCACAATTAATATGAAAAGGAAAGCATCCAAAGCATACTTTATATAGAGCACACTACTGAAAAAGACAGCAAAAAAGAATTACGAGTCTCACTTGCTTCTTGTCACAACTGCATTATACTGAAGTCTTTAAAACATTTCACATATAACAGCAAGTCCTACCTCAATATACAATGGAAATATACATAATTTGCAAACAGGGCCTTTCAAAATTGATTATTTTGATATCCACAAAAGTATCATTCAAAATAATAATTTATCTAAAATAATTCTACTCTAAAGTTCAACTGCCTTTAGCTATAAACATAAAACTACTATCTGCCCCCAGATGATTTTAGGAATATGAAATTCTATTCTGTTAAGATCAACACTATTCCACTAAGATTTTTTTACTAATACCCAACTATCATATAATTTTAAAAACTTGAAATTTTAGGCCACTAGGTTATTTTAGTAAGTTAGTCCTGACTGTAACTATACGTTAGAGTAAAGCTATAAAAGAGCCCCAATGCGTGTTTATTCTCTGACATCATATCTTCATCTTTTTAACATTATATCCAAAGCAAGCAATTTTTGACTCTTTCAGAAATATAATGCAGTTAAAAGGTAGAGGAATCAAAAAACAATCAAACTGAATATGTTCCAAATATACACAGAATTGTGGCAAATTTTTTTACTGAAGAATAACATTCACACTGAAAGGAACAAAAATTGTTAAGTATGCACCTATATAGGTTGATGGATTTTTACAAAGTGAACACACCTGTGTGTAAACACCAACGGGACTACAAAGTGACCACCACACAGCTTAAGATACAGAACATTACCAGCACCCCCAGAGGCTGTCATTACACGCCCTGAAAGGTAATCACTATTCTGACTTTCATCCCCATCTGTAAATTTTGCCAGTTTTTGAATTAGTGTAATGGAACTGTATACTTTTTATTGTGACTGTTTTTATGGTCAACGTTGTGAGGTTTATCCATGTTGTTACATATAAAAGCAGTTAAATCTTTTTCAATGCTAAAGAGTATTCATTATATTTAGTATAAACAAAAACAAACCAAGCCAGTTGCCATAAAGTTGATTCTGAGTCATGGCAACCCCATGTGTTTCAGAGTGGAGCTGTGCTCCACAGGATTTTCTGTGGCTGCAAAAGCCAGAATCTGTGTTAAGGTGGAAACCTGTCAGAGAAGGAAAACTCAAATATTTTCTACTAAAATGAGCAACAGAAAAGTGGTAAGAGTGCACACTGTCAAAGGCAGAAAACTCGTGAGACCCAGAAAAACAAGGCAGTCTCACTGAGTTTCGGCTCTCACAGATTTCACTGTTATTACTTTTAGGAACATAGCTATTAACTTTCTTTAAATAAGCAGACATTGTAGATCAATAAATAAAATCACTAACCTCTTCTGCTCTTTTAAAGACCACATTAGCGTGCTGAGGAATGTTCACTTCCAAAGAGTCCCTTTTTCAAAATGAAAAGAAATGTTTTATTTTGCTACTCAGAATTACAGTCATTTATGATGTCGATTAAGAATAGAATTGTAAGTTCTTATATTAAACAGTGTTTGTGAAAAAAGATGACAATTTAGTAAGTCTGACAAATTTCACACATAAGTACAGACCAGATATTCTAGTTTCCATTTTAATCTACATTTTCTTTCAGCAAGGTTTAAAACTCGAAATTTTAATCAAGCTTATAATGTACAAATGTTAGCACAGCAACTGGTTCTAACTATACTGGAATCTATCAGAGACTTCAGCTTATTTACAAGTGAATATATTGCCATATTTAAAAATATATATATTAGTATTTTGCTAACTATAGTAATGTTCAATTTTATAATACCTTAACAAGAGTAGAACTCCAGCTTTTCCCAGAAGACGCCAAGCAACCCATTCTGCAGTTCTTCTATCAGCTTCATATGTGACTTGTTGACTAACAATAAAAACTAGTGGTAATCCTAGTTGGAGATGAATAGTTGAAACTTGCTGAGGATCTTTAGCAACTTCAGTCTTCATTTAAAAAAAAGACAACAAAATGTTATAATTGATAATAATGCCCCAACATTTGGATTTAAACCCAATTAATTCTTATTAATAAAGTCACAAGTTTAAAAAGCCTGTAAAATAAACCCAACATTGACAGAAATGGTCTCATAATTTCCTAAGTTTAATGTTTCAAATGTACCTATACAGTTTAAACATTATAAAACTTACAAGTTTTATAAGGAGTTAAACATGGAATTATAACTATAAGGAATATGCATATTATAAAGGAACAATAATTAAAATACTATGGTATTGATAAATTAAGAGACTTATCACTGAAATGGAGCAGATAACTAAAGAAAAATATCTTTCATATGTAAAAATGTACCATATAATAAATGACACATTACAAAACAATGAAATACATCTGAGTTAAGACGGCAGATGGAATACACACACTTAATTTCACTTCTTCAGAAATCCCAAGAAAACTACAGCAGAGGGATTTTTCAAATGAGATAAACATACAAGGGTGTCAAGAAAGCAAAAGAGACAAGGCAGCAAAATTTTGGAAGCTAAGAACAGAATAATACTGACATAGAAGATTCTACAAAGCAAAACCCTAAGCCATGGAGGGGGAGTGGTGGGAAGGTTCTAAAATCAGAAAGAATAGGTAAAAGCTTTAAGAAGCAGTTAGACCCCTAGATTCCCCTTCCCAAATTCACAAGTTTAGGCAACTGTTTCTCTCCCCCATACCAGCAGAAATCTAAGGACTTTAGGAACAACTGAGAATATGAATATCACGCCAAATCAAGAGATTAAGTATCTCAAGCCTGAGACATCCCCCAGCCTCCTCCCTCACTCAGTTCCCAGAATGCTGGCAGCCAGATCTCTGTCCTCCAGCAAAAGACTGGAAGATTCTTTTCTAGGAATCTTGAGTAACCTTGAGGAAAAGACAAGAATATTGACACTGAGTTTGCCCAAAAAGCAGCAGAACTTTTTGCTCAATAACTCTATGGAGCGCAAAGTCAACAAGTCCGATTGACATTCTTAGAATTTCTGGTTTTTAGTTCCATATGCTAAATCATAAACAGATATCCAGAAGAAATGAACATCTGAGGAAAGCCTGTAACATGAAAGATAAAAGACCAAAATAAACAGAAAAAAAAATAATAACGTGGAGAAAATACAGGCTATGCAGGAAGCAGAAAGCTTCAAAAACAATCACTGATAACCACGAGGAGATGAGAAGATAATGCATTCATAAAGAACTGAGAAATAACGTTGACTAAATCTCCCAGAAAGTAGAGAAAAAGAGGTGGAAAATAGGACAAAGTAATAAAATTAAAGGACTAGTCCATGAGGTTCAACATCCAAGTAATAGCAGTCACAGAAAGAGAAGAGAGAGAAAATAAAAGGGAAGAAATAATCACTGAAATAAACACAAAAATATTTCCACAGCTGAAGGACATGAGCTGCCAGATTGAAAGAGCTCACTGAATAACCACAACAGTGGATAAAAGCAGATACACAGGAAACTGCATTCTTGAAAACTTTTCAATTATTAAAGATTTTTTAAAAATCGAAGTTTTCAGAGAGAATCCTATATTTACCTATGGTAGGCGGAATTCTAAAATGCGCCCCCAAAATTCCTACCCTCTGGTGTACACATCTTGTGTAATCCCCTCCCCTTCAGTTGAGTAGGACCAATGAGATAGTTATTCCACTGATTAAGTTACACTATATAAGACTCTGTCATAGACTAATACATATATTAAGACTCATTGAAGTGAGACTGTACTGCTAGCTTTGAAGTCACCTGTAACATTGTTAGGGGGCCATGTGGTTAGGACCTGAGAGCATCCCTTGGCCAACAGCCAACAAGAAAATGGGGACCTCAGTCCTACAATCACAAGGAACCGAATGAGTGGAATAGCCTGAAAGAGTAGAAGAGCCTGATTTCTTCTTTGCATATACCTGGAGAACTATAAGATATTCAGTATTATAAAGTGAAAAGGAGGAATAGGCAGTACGGATAGACATCCAGCAAAGGGCAAGATCATTAAAAACCATGTATACCCTGCTAAGACATTAGGGCTTTATTTTGTAAATAAACCAAAGCCATTATGAATTGTAAGAATTATTGTGACACGATCATATATGTTTTAAAAATATCACTCTGCCAGCAATGAAAAGTACGAACTTAGAACAAAAATAGATGAATAGAGACCAGATCAGTTGCTATTACTAAAACAGTTCAGATGAGAGATGGTGATAACTGGGATTAAAGCATTGGCAGTTGGAATGAAAAATTCAAAAAAAAAATTTAAGATGTAAAATTAAATGAAGGAAGATGTAGGAATTATGGATGATTTTCCAGGTTTCTGGCATGAGTGACTGAATAGTAAATCAACAAAGATAATGGAGAAAGTACAGGTGGTGGAAAAGGACAACACCTCAAATTTGGACATGTTAAGCTTAAGGAGAGATACATCTAATTGGTAGTTAGATATATGGGACAGGGGCTCCAGAGAAATATGTGACTTGAAATTCAGATTTGAGAAACAGTGTAATTAATGCCACAGAAACAGATGAGATCACTTGGAAGGTATGTTCTAAACACTGTGTGGAGCAAACCATCCCAAAACCTGGTGGCTTAAAATAACAAGAATCATTTATTTTGCTCATGTATCTGCAAATGTGTCTATGTTCAACATGGCATTAGTGGGGCATTTCAACTGGGGCTGGAAGGTTCCACTTTAAAAAATGGCTCATTCATGTGGCTACCAAATTGTTGTTGGAAGCTCAGCCAGGACAGTGGGCTAGAAGCCTCGATTCCTCTTCACTTGGGCCTCTCCTCAGGCTGCTTAGTCTCACAGCAAGGTAGCTGGGTTCCAACAGTAAGCAGCCCAAGACAGCAAGGCAGAAACACGTGGCATTTCTGTGATCAAGTCTCAGAAGTCATATAACACCACTCCAGGCTTATTCTATTGGTCACGGCAATCACAAAGGCCAACCAGGATCAATGAGAGGGGACACAGACCCCACTACTCAATAAGAACCAGTGATAAGGTTACATTGTAAGAAGAGCTCGTGGGATATGAAATATTGTTGTTGCCATCTTTGGAAAATATAATAAAAGTCAACAGGATGAGGCTTTGAGGGTCTTTGAAAGACTGAGGAGCTAAGAAGAAGGCCCCTACCTTACATTGTTTTGTAACCTCCAGTCTATTCCGTAAGAACATAAAACACCCTCAAATACTGCTATGGTGAAACGTTTAAGTACCAAAACACAAACGTGACCAAATCAGCTGAGAACCTTTTAACATCTTCCTACTCCCACAGGGATAAGGCTTTACTCATATCACTAAGAGTCTCAAGGAAGCTTTCTAAGTCATCTCCATTCCTGCACTCTGCATTCATTTGCTCCATTCAGATCTATGAAAGTCCAATAATCTGTGCTTCTTTGTCTCTCTCTGCCAAGCCTTTCTATGCTGACACCAAGGTTTGGATTCTCAGCTTGGCTCTCCACCCAGCACTAAGCTTCAATTTTGCCTTTCGTATCATTCTTGCATCTATGCTACTGGCCATTCCTACCTATCCTAGTGTCTACCCAGGCTTCTGGAACCTCTGCCTGAATCCTACATCCCAGTTCCATAAATGTCTAGGAAAAGTAAGATACTGAGGTAATATGTTTATGTATCACTGTGACAGTGTTGAAACAAACCTCACCTCAGAAAGGACTTTCATTGCCAAATTAATATTCCTTTTGGATAAAAAGTGGCTTAGAGCAGGGTCACCTGCATTACACAATTCTAGAAAGAATCATTCACATTGTAGTTTATAAAATGTATGTTTCAGGCTGACATTCACATAGAATACAATATAAGTGGTACCCTTGATTTTTTGTAACACCATACCCTCAAGTGATTCCACAAGTAATTGAATCCCAAGTCATTACGAAGTCTTCAAAGTTTTAGTTTTTGAATTTCAAAATTAAAACTGCGTAATTCCCGATAAACATAGTAAAGTGAAGTAAGATCAGAGAATCTCGCTTCTCATTATCTATCTAAAAAACAAAAAATAATTTTTTTAAATGGCAAAAGAAAATTCATGAGCAGCAATTTTAGGAAAAGGGCACAACTTCAAGCGAAAACAAGGTAGCCAAAGAAGAAAGAGAAGACTTTAGAAAGGCTGGTACAACTCCTACTCCTGCCTCCAATGGCAAAGATGGTACAGGTGAGTAGACAAAATCCTGAGAATTCTTAATAATATCCCAATATCTCAAGAGAAGAACCGTACAGTGAACTGGTATCTCCCTCTCTATTAGGGCTCTATACCAAAACGGGAAAGCAAAACAAATTCAAAAGGTAATAAGATACATGCCCCAATACACATGTATAAAAGGAAAGGAAAAAACACCAATAAGCTTCTTTAAAAAGAAAAAATTGTTTGAAGGCAAAATTCAACCAAACAAAAAGATTAAAAATACAGAACTCAGCAATGAAGCCAGTAAAACGACAGCTGGCAAGCCCTGAATCTATTTCAATGTACAAGTAAGGCTTTTAAAAAGTGGGAATTATGATTACAGAAAAGAATATAAATGTTATAAATCTTAACAATGTAAAAATAACATTCACATTGTTATTGTTGTTGCTGTGCTGTCGAGTCAATTCCAATTTATAGCAACCCTATATGACAGAGTAGAGAATTGGTCCCTAGGGTTTCCTAGGCTGTAATCTTTACTGGAGCACATCATCACGTCCTTCTCTCATGAAGCAGCTGGTAGATTCGAACTGCCAACCTTTCAGTTAGCAGCCAACCACTTAACCATTGTGCCACCAGGGCTCCTTAAAAAAAATAATAATGATAACTTAAAAAAACAGGAGGGTAAGAGGAGCTGAGATGGATATAGTAAATGCATGACAGTTAATTTTCTCATCTTTCACAGCAAGAAGTCAATATTATGTAACATGGAAACACATTGTTTTAAACTATAATGATTTTAATTTCTTACTGTTTTGCATAGTCACTTTCAACACTGGAGACAATATTTCATAAAGAACCCCCTAATAATGAACATACATTTATTAAAAAATTCAGCAATCCTTCTAGTTTCAAATCAGTTTCTTTTCCTTCTATTAAATTCAAATAAAATTAAATATAATACTTCTTACTATAAAGTAGCCTGCATAGTATGATATGCCCAAATTCATCCATCCATCCTCTATCTGTATGTGTCTGCATGTGTCACACATGACTAGTATGACAGCCATCTAACAGTTAATCTCTCAGTGATGAGATTAGGGTGACCTTTTTTTTACTTCTCTCTTTATACTTTGCTGCACTGTTTGGATTATAATATACATGTACCACTTTTATTAAAAAAGTACTGAGTGAGAAGGTCTACTGAAGGTTTTACACATGCTCAGGACAACCCTTCAAACTTACAGAGACAATAAGTCTGCTGGTCACCATCACAGAGAGAGTCTCTAATAAAATTCTTTCAGACTAACCCTAAGGAAAGCGGGGTACCAGAAATCCTATGGTTCCAGTATTTACCAACTTTGAAAACATTCACATAAGATCAAAGCATTCACGTAAGAAGTCTTTTCTTAACAATGATGTGGTCTTTGTGATCTGACAGCAGTCACCAAGGTTCAGAGTCCATTATAACTCCCACAGAATATTTCCAATTGCACAATGCTATATTTGGATTTCAATGCAATAATGCCTCCAGGCATTAAAATATCATTTTATGAATAATCTATCTTCTATCTTTAATAAGGAACAACTCATAAACTCCCCTACATGAAAGAAATATGTCCAAGCAAAAGCGCAAAAATACAGCTCATCTAAGTAAAACTCATTATCTGTGAATTAAAGGTTAATACATTTTATGTATAAATTAAAATAAGACACATACCAGCAAAGGTGCTTCCATTGTCTTAATAAATCGATGAATGTTCAGTGTAGTCAATGGCTGTTCCATTAGTGTTCTTCTACACTGCTGGATGAAATCCAAGACTGGTTTGCAATGAAGGAAGTACAGATGTGCATATTCTATATCTTCAGTACTACAAATGAAAAATTGGAGACAGATCCACTTAATCAAGTTCAATGTGGGATCCTTCTACCATCCAGAAACGTGAAACAACACACCCCTGTGTCTTAAGTATCGTGCTTTTTGAATTACTATTTTGGTAAACATCTAAAAGTATAATATTAAAATAAAATGAACTTAAACTCGAAAAGAAGATAGGAACATAGGATAGTAAAGAAAATAATCTTAACATTTTGAACAAACTACATGAGTTGTATAAGCAATTATTTCCGAAACTCTTTCATATGATAACTTCTAAATTAGATTATAAACAGGCATATATGTAACTTTTGAGGAAACCCTGAATAGGTACATATATGTAGTTTTTTTTTTTTTTTAATAAAAGGCTGTCACCTTATGGACAATGAGATTATCTTCAAATATAGTTGCTTCTCTAGAGCTATGCTAAATAAAGCTTTGTAACACAAATTTTCTAGGTTTTATTTAACCCTGAAGCTGTTTTGAATAAACTTCAGCCAAAACATGCCTTAAGATAGAAACCATGTGACCATTTGTGGGAGTTTGTGAGTTTGTATCTGTAATACAACAAAACTCAGCCAATGTGGCTTATAATTTGAGTTTGGCATTCCCTTCAACATGAGAATTCAAAGATAAACTTGCGGTGGGGGTAAGCTTTGCCAAAATTAAAACAGCATTTTTTAATCTCCATATGGCATTAGTAGAGTTTGGAAAAATGCACCAAAATTTTGTTTTTAATAAGCTATTTTAATGCTTGATACACACTTAAACTGAGCATCCAAGGTTCACTGACTCTCAAATTTAATTACAAGTAATTTCTAATAGATTAAATGATTAAAGAAATGCTCACACAAAGATTTACTTAATGTTTACCATGTGTTAGGCCCTGTGCTAAACTCAGGAGACGATGATGAATAAAACAATTCAAACCTTTGAGAGGCTCAAACTAAAGGAAATATATTTAGTGAACAAATAATTAATACATAAATATACAAAGTGGTATGAGCAACATAGAAACATTTCATTGTCTCAAGTTGGCAAGGAGACAGAAAGGGAAAAGAAGATCATTATAAAACTTAAAAAATAGAGGGAGAAGGACTTATCCATGAAGCTATGACAAATTCGCATTTCAGAAAAAAAAGGAATAATCTAACCAAGGTGTAGTAAAAAGTATGTAACTTTTGATGAAGCCCTGAATAGTTACATATTGCTGAGAGCAAAGTATTGAAAGCATGAGGATCAGTTTGAGGCTGGATGTTATAACATTTGAAATACTAAAATGATTTTGGAAAGGTATTTAATCAGGGATTTGGTTGCAGGTAACAAACCCATCCAACTAATTTAAGCAAAAACAAAAAAAAAAGGAAGGGACTTTTTGAAAGTTTAGAGAGGTATCTCACAGAATACAAGGGAAAATCCAAATAACTGAATCAGAGAAAGGGAAGACACAAGAATAAATGTAGAGACCCTGAACCTACCATTAACATATTTCTAATGTTCAGGGTCTGTCTTAGTCATCTAGTGCTGCTGTAACAGAAATACCACAAGTGGATGGCTTCAACAAGGAGAAATTTATTCTCTCACAGTCCAGCAGGCCACAAGTCCAAACTCAGGGCTTCGGCTCCAGGGGAAGGCTTTCTCCGTCAGCTCGGGAGGAAGGTCCTTGAAATGCATTAATCTTTCCCTGGTCTGGGAGCTTCTCTGAGCAGGAACTTCAGGTCCAAAGGAAGCGCTCTTCTCCCGGCGTTGCTTTCTTGGTGGTGTAAGGTTCCCATGTGTCTCTGCTCATTTCTCTGTTTTACCTCAAGAAGCTGGCTTAAGACACTACCCAATCTTGTATACCTCATCAGTATAACTGCCGCTAATCCATCTTATTAGGTCATAGTGATTGAATTTACAACACATAAGGGAATCACATCAGATTACAAAATGGTACACAATTATACAATACTGGGAATCATGACCCAGCCAAGTTGACAGATATTTTTGGGGGACACAATTCAATCCATGACAGGGTCCTTCAACCTGCCATTAACACATTTCAGCTCCCATCTCTCTCTTGAAGACATCTCTTCCCTGCTTAACTTCTACATGGGAAAAACAATCCCTGTGTGCAAGACAGCCACCATGCTGTACAATCCAGTTTTTCCACCCAAATTCCAAGTTCCTGGAAGAGAAGATCTAATTTTCTCAGGCAACCCAATGGATTGGCTGGCCCTAGGTCGGAAATTCATCTCTGATTTAACTGACTGTGATACTTATTGGGCAGAGATAACACTCTTCCTGACCTTGTACACAGATTCTGTAAGAAGCAAATATGGGGAGGTAGCACAAATAAGTACTGGTATTTCTACAGCATCCTACCTTCTATCATATAAAAAAACCAAACCCAAACCCACTGTCAACAAGTGGATTCCAACTCATAGCAACCCTATAGGACACAGTAGGACTGTCCCATAGGGTTTCCAAGGTGCTGCTGGAGGATTTGAACTGCCGACCTTTTGGTTAGCAGCCAAGCTCTTAACCACTGCACCACCAGGGCTCCTTCTATCATATATACCCTTTTTTAACAGATATATTATTTCAAACATATTCAGACTCAAGATGATACAGCAATTAATATTCTAGTTAATATTCTAGTCTTACCCAGTGTTAAAAGACCCAGCACCTGGAACAGTGTCCAGCACACAGAAAACATTCAATAAATATCTGCTGAATTAATGAATGAACAAATGAAAGAAATGCATCCACCCCAGCCTAATGGGGAGAGAACACAAAGCCATATCAAACTATTTCATCCAGAAGTGGTATTATGAGACTACTGTATTCAGAAACCACAGATCTTCCCTGTCACTGTAACTCCTCACTATCTTGTTATCCATGAATAAATAATTCAAACATCCCAAATACACTGAATATCAAAAGTATATGAAAAAAGGGATAACCTGTCATTAAAAAATTCCCATTTAAAAAATGGGGAAAAACAAAAGCCTTCCAGAACTGTACTATGCTATGGTCATACACCAGAATATTATATATAGTATATCTTGCAGAACAGGATTTGTAAGGTAAAATGATAGGATCTATATTTTGCCAATTAATCATCCTCACTTTTTTGCTCTAAGCATGTCTCCATCATTTGCAACTATTCATTATCTGAAAAATGTACAAGCTGGTGACCCAAAAGGTAATATAAGCAACTAACCCCCAGATAAAATATGCAGCTACAATGGAATCATCAGGAGATAGAGAATAACAAGGCTTCCCCATCCAGATGGGAAACTGGCAGTCTACGTTGGGAATAGTAGTAAAGTAGCTGGCTTACTTTATCTTGGGACTTGGTGACTAACAGTGAAATTTTATGGTATTATCAGCATAATTCTCAAATTGTTAAAGACATAATTCTCACACAAATACTAAGCATGCATCAAAAGTTTTATGTAACTCACTAATGAGGGGGCCAGCAGATTGACAGTTCAATAAAGAGAGACTAATGGAAAAGGGAATGCTGGTTAATGTCTTACAGGGCAATGAAAATATAACTTCTCTTTGTAGGTGATATTTTCTCTCTCTCGCCTTTCCTCTTAAAAAAATCATTTCCTCCTATCAGTTCTCTATGCATTAACCTTTAAATTTACGGAGTTGTAAAATGTCTGAACCTTTGTCAATTGTTTATAGCCAATCAAATAGAGTTACTATTTTCTGAGAAGTCAGTAGGAAGGCTCATTAAAAAGTTCTTGCATGGCACTAAAAAGTCACACAATCACCTTTTTGCCTTGCTTTGGATTAATTTTCCTGAAAAGCACTTTGAAGCTAAACTTAAGGTCTTTAAAATGTACAGGTTATTCCTGGTATACTTAAGTACTAAAGGAAAGAGAAACTTTAACCCTAGCTTACCCAGCCAAAAAGTTAGTGAAAAGCAGGCCTCTAGCTATAATTGTTTGGAAGAAGTACAGCCAGAATGCTCCTCAGAACAAGGATGGTATTTGTCTCATGTACTTTGGACATGTTATCAGGAGGGACCAGTCTCTGGAGAAGGACATCATTCTTGGTAAAGCAGAAGGTCAGCGAAAGACACTCAACAAGATGGACTGATACAGCGGCTGCAACAATGGGCTCAAACATAGCAACAATTGTAAGAATGGCACAGGACTGGGCAGTGTTTCGTTCTGCTGAACACAGGGTCACTGTGAGTCGGAACCAACTTGATAGAACCTAACAACAACAAAGCTACAACTGTAAGCTAGAAACTAGACAAGGGGAAAAAAAACATTTAAAGCATTGTTCAAAAGCTGTACTTAAAATACATTTAAATTATGACAAAGCAACTTACAGAATTCTCACAAAGCACTTCTAAAGCTTAGTTATGAAAGCTGTCTTTTTATTCCCTATTTGATCACTGTAAGAGATCTATCCCTAAGATGTCGCAGTTGGCCACTCGTGAAATCATGTCTTGTGACTTATCCAACATTGTCTTCATTCATCTTAGTCTAACAGCACTTCTATATATATAAACTCATTTTCAGACTATACTACACAGATGATAGAGATGAAAGGGATTTCAAGTTTCATGTATATATTCACGTCTGTTTATGATTCCTTTCAGATAAGTTCATGTGACAGCATTATGGAAATGCAGAACACGTAATGTAAAATAAACAAACAAACAAACAAAAAAAAAAAACAGTTGATATATGCCACTTATACATACCCAATACTTTCCAAAACGGCAATTTCTGTGGTTAAGACAAATTGGTATGTGGTCCCATACACAAAAGCAGCTTCCATGACTGCTCTGTGCTCTGCAGAAGAAATATGGGAGTTGGGAGAGAGGAGTTAGTTTGAGTGACTCTGTGGCAACTTCTATTCTGAGTATTTTCCTACACCCTTTTATGCTCTATTATATTTAAACTGCTACAAAGAGAAAAAGCTAGACTTTAATAAAAATCCTTTGTAGTGATCCCAGTTAGGAAAATGCAGGCTGTTGAAGAAGTGATAAAAAGTCTATTCTATTCAAGAGAAGAATTAAGAGAGAGTATAAAATTTGTGATAGCTTCTTTCTAGTAGTAGGGAAGAACATGTGAATCCACCACACAGCTTTGTTATACTTCGTGTGAATTTTGAGTGCCTTCCAACCTAAGGGGTTCATCTTCCAGCACTATATCAGACAATGTTCTGCTGGCCAATTTTTTTTTTTAGAAGTAGATCACCAGATCCCTCTTCCTAGTCTGTCTTAGTCTAGAAGCTCCGCTGAAACCTGTTCACTATGGGTGTCCCTGCTGGTATTCAAAATACTGGTGGCATAGCTTCCAGCATCACAGCAACATGCAAGCCACCACTACAACAAACTGACAGAAGCTCTATACTAGAGAACAAAACTGGACCAATAAACAATGCCATGATAAATGGAGAAAGTACTGAAGTTGTCAAAGACTTCATTTTACTTGTATCCACAATCAACACCCATAGAAGCAGCAGTCAAGAAATCAAATGACTTACTGGCATTGGGCAACTCTGCTGCAAAAGATCTCTTTGAAGTGTTAAAAAGCAAAGATGTCACCTTGAGGACTAAGATGCACCTGACTCAAGCCATGGTATTTTCAATCACCTGATATTCATGAGAAAGCTGGACAATGAATAAGGAAGACAGAAGAACTCATGCCTTTGAATTATGGTGTCGGTGAAGAATACTGAATATACCATTGTAATGGACTGAATTGTGTCCCCCCAAAATATATGTATCAGCATGGCTTGGCCATGATTCCCAGTATTGTGTGATTGTCCACCATCCTGTCATCTGATGTGATTTTCTTATGTGTTGTAAATCCTATCTCTATGATGTTGATGAGATGGAATTAGTGGCAGTTATGCTAATGAGGCAAGACTCAATCTACAAGACTGGATTCTGTCTTGAGCCAATCTCTTTTGAGATATAAAAGAGAAAAGCAAGGAGCAAGTCACGGGGACCTCATACCACCAAGAGAGCAGCGCCAGGAGCAGGGCACGTCCTTTGGACCCAGGGTCCTTGCACCTGAGGAACTCCTAGTCCAGGAGAAGACTGATGACAAGGATTTTCCTCCAGAGCCAACAGAAAAAGTCTTCCTCTGGAGCCAACACCCTGGGTTTGGACTTCTAGCCTACTAGACCTTGAAGGAGTAAACTTCTGTTTGTTGTGTGGTGTTTCTGTTAGAGCAGTACTAGATAACTAAGACAACCACGGAGTGCCAGAAGAATGAACAAACTTGTCTTGGAAGAAATACAGCCAGAATATTCCTCAGAAGTGACGATGGTGAGACTTCATCTCACTTACTTTGGACATGCTGTCAGGAGGGACCAGTCCCTGGAGAAGGACATCATGCGTGGTAAAGTAGAGCATCAGCAAAAAAGAGGAAGACCCTCAGAGAGAGGACTGACACAGTGGCTGCAACAACGGGCTCAAACATACAATGATTGTGAGTATGGTGCAGCACCAGGTAACGTTTTGCTCTGTGGTACATAAAGTCGCTATGAGTCTGAACCGACTCGACAGCACCAACAACATGTGCGTGAATGTGTGTATAGTTTTCTGCTTGTTTGTTTTTTAATCAAACTTATTCTTATACATAGTCTAAAGTGACAACTAATTCTACAAGGCATATTAAGAAAAACAGCTGTTCCCATACCCTCTATCCCATTTCCAATTCCCAAGGGACAGCCACTTTCAATTCTTTTACTGTTTCTTTTAGTATTCACCTTCAACTCTCTAAATGATATGCTTGTACTCTTACTTCCTGAGCTCTCTTTCCAGAAACCCTGCCCCACAAACACAGTTTCCATCCCCTCAACTCTCCCAATATTCTTATAATTTTTATTAGACCCATATTCAGCATTTACATTGTTACACTATTTACAGATAAGCCATATAGTACTGGATGACCTCTTTTACTTTTTTGCACAGCTTTGTTTTCACTGCTGTTATAAGTGTTTTTATTTTTGTTTGTTTAAATTTCTTCTTAATTTATTCTTAAACTCTTCTAAATTTGTCTAAACCTCTCAATTCTTAAATATACCAGTTATTCTATCAATTCCATTTTCTTGGAGACATTTCTGCAGAGCCTTCTGATTTGCTTCAATATGGACTGTTGCTACTTGGCCTGCTGTATAACTGTCATCCTGGGAGCAAATCTCCTCTTCTTCCTGCATGATGCATTTTTCCCTTTCTGCTGGATCTCTCTCATCAGGGTACAAACATGCTTCTTAAAAGTCTTCTCTTGACCCCACATACTCTTCCAGCCACTTACTCGTTTGTCTCTTTCCCTTTACAGCAAAACTTCTCCAACAAGTCTCTATATTCAGTTTCCAATTACCCTCTACCTATTCTCTTATACTCCTCCAATCAGGCATTTACCCCATCACTCTACAGAAACTGCTCTGGTCAAGGTCACCAATAACTTCCACATTGCTAAGCATAATGGCCAACTGACACTTAACTTCATTAATCTTTCAGTATCATTTGACACAATTGTTACTTCTCTCTTCCTTAAAACTCTATCTCCACACTTTGCTGTCAGGGCACTCCTACCACACAGGCCCTTCCTTCTCTGTCTCCGTTACCTCAATGACCTGTAAATGCTGGAGTACCTAAAGGGTTTGGCCTTCTTTTCTCTTCCATCTAGGCTCACTCCCTTGGTGATCTCTTCTGATCTCAAAGCTTTATCTCCAAAATTTATATTCTCACCTGTATCCCCACCATACAATCTAGACTAGTAATATCTAGCTAGCTTTTTGATATCTCTACTTGGATGTCTAATGTGTATTTCACAACCACGATGTCCAAAGGTGAATTCCAGAGCTTCTCCTCCAAACTGTCTATTCTCAGTCTTCCCCACTTCAGCTATTAGCAATTTCACCCTTCAAGTAGCTTAAGTGAAAAACCTGAAGTTTCTCCACTACTTCTCTCTCACTCCACATCCAATATGTCAGCAAATTCAGTTAGCCTTACCGTCAAAATACTGCTAAAATTCCAACATTTACTGTCACCTCTGTTGCTAATACCCTGGTCCAAGCATCCCATCATCATCTCTTGACTGCATTATCACAATAACTTCCTAATTTTCTCCCTTATTCTACCCTTGCTCCCTCCAACCTATTCCAAACAAACCACTCAGAATGATCTTTTTAAATAAAAATCAGAGAGTTCCAGTTTGGCTAGGGTGGTGTAAACCCCCTACAGTCCATCCCTCTCACTGATAATGACTACAAACTCCTGACAAAATACAACAACCTGAGAACCCTGAAAAGTAAACACAAGCAGATGGATTGTAGAGTATTATTTTACAAGCGTATTTAGTATGCCATGTACCCAGGAAGATTTATGTTTGTAAAAATGGAGATCTCCAATAAATGATTTTATTTCATAGAGTATATACAATTCTTAAAATGCTACTGACATTTCTAAATTGACATGTTCAAGTTATAATCATTGACCAATAAAAGTCCTGAACACTTAATCATAATTTGTTCATAAAATGTTTATAAACTTCTTTACCACAAATTTAGATATCAATATCCACGGTGATACTATCAAAAGCAGATTTTTAAAAATCAGGAAAGGATTCTTCCAGCAATGTGGCACTCTAGGCAGAAGCACCATGCCATCCCTCCACAGCAAAGATCCGAAAAACTAAGCCAAACAGAGAAAACAACAATCCTGAAACCCTAAAACATCAAATGAAGAAAGGAAGAACTCAGCCAAGCACCAAATGGAGTGAGAAACTGACAGAGAACAGAGAGCAAGGAGAGATTCATGCAGAGGTCCCCTATCAGCTAATGCAGCATGGATCCGCCATCTTGGGACTCCTATCAGAGACCAGCAAACAGGGGGTACGAGAAAGCAGCTTCACGGAGCTTCCAGCAGGAGAAAGAACAACCAGTAATGGGCAATATACACCTTCCCACCCACCCTTCTTCACCCACACTCGGCCTCCTCTGCTTCCCACAGCCACAGTGTCTTGGCCAGGAAGCACCGGATTCCACCCACCCGCACTGCCCAACTCCCTGAGCGCCATTTGTTGGCAGCTGGCGTTGCTTTTTTCCACTTCTTTTGATTTATTTCTTACCTCTCACCACCTCCCCCTCCTTTCGCTCAAATACTTGGCTCCGTGCGCCATCTTTGCTTCTTCCTGAGGGGCTGCAGAGCTCTGTTGAGTGTGGAACTGCTTCCTGGTCTGTGCTGCCACGCTGGTGGGATCCTGGGGCTTTTTTTGTTTGTTTTGAATTGTTTGTTTGTTTTCTTTTTCTTTTCTCGAGTTGGGAGCCCGTTCTGGCCGGGCAGTGCTACGTGGCTTGGGACCTACCCTCAGCTTGCTCAGACACGCAGAGGGATCCCTGAGAACATTTCTTTTCTCGTGGGTTTTTTTTTTTTTTTCCTGTATTTGGGGGGCTTTTCTTGTTCTTTTTTTTTAAATTTGTTTTGTTTTCTTTTCTCTCTTTTTCCCTTTTTGTTTTTCTTCATTACTCAGTTTCTCATCTCTCTATACCTTCCTTCTCTTCCTGTCCACTGAATACCTGGCGCTGACTACCTCTACGCCTTCTAGCCAGGCTGTACTTCAATACCTGGGAACAACCTCCCCATACCTCATAGCCACACCAGTGGGATCCCTGGAAGCTTTGCTGTTCTTTTTTCTTTATAATTTTTATTTATTCATTCTTTTCTTTTCTTTTTTTTTCCTTCTTCTTCCCCTTTTTGTTTTTCTCCATTTCATAGTCTCTCATCTCTCCACTCCAACAGCAAGCTCCCCTAGCACTCTTTTTTGTTTGTTTGTCTGCTTTTGGCTCCTGTTCCTCTCTCCTCTCTCCCATACCCATCTTAGCATCTTAGCTCCACATATCACAATCTCCCCCTTCCATCCTGCCTACCTGTACGGTGCGCTTAACATCGCACCACCAAGAAGCACAGGCATGCCCCACCAGAACCTGCCCTGCACTGATTACCGACCCACCCTGGTGGCTGTAGTAAGTGCCACAAACAACCCATCCCAGCAACTCCTCTTCAGCTAGACCTGCCCTGCTGTACCATATCTGAGCGACTGACCCTGCCAACTGGAGAAGGAGGCAAAAAGTATCATGCCCACAGACGAGCAAACAACAAAGAACATACAGCCCGCCTGCTCACATATAGCCAAATTTAAAAAAAGGATAAAACAAACAAATCTACAATCAATAAATGACTACAATCAAAAATAACTACTGAATGCCCTGAAGACAGCAGACAATATCAAAACATTTACAAAAACAGGACAGGATGGTTCCA